GTGTGTGTGTGTGTGTGTGTGTCCTGCCACGCCTTTAAATTCAGCTCAGTGTTTAAAAAAAAAAAGTGACTCTACATCAGCTTTTTTTTTCTTTGGCACAAAGCAAAGCTAAAAATATCCGCTGTCCAGACGTTTGCTTTGACAGGAAAGCTTCAAACTGCTGCATCACTCGACTGACGGATTTAGTAAAGCATCACCTGCTCTTTCTCTGCTTTTCTTTCCACATCATCCACATCATCCGCATAAAAGCTTACAGTCAGTGTTTGTGAGACAGCTACAGGAGTGAAAACAGGAGATTCTGTTTATAGCTTCAAACACCCAACAATAATAGTACCAAAAAGTCGGCTGAACACGTGAAGAAGCATTGAACTCTGAAAGACTGACACTCATTCGGTTTATTTATAAAATCAAACAGTTTGGACCTGGCTCAGTGAGTTTCAAAATGCAGTGTTTTAGGAAGAGTTACAAAATAGTACAACAGGCAACCATCACTAACATTTCTATACAGGAAGATCATGGTAACATTCTCTACATTTGAGCAAGTATCTGAGAAAGAAAAACAAAATCTATATAGAAAAAGAAAACTACCTGATAAACGGGGCCCTGGGAGGTGGAGCTCCCAGGAAACTGTGCCCAAAATACAGCTGAGCGACTCAGTGAAACACGCGAGTACAGCGGACGACGACGCCTCAGGGACGTCTTCACACCGCGACGGCTCCGAAGTTAAAAGGCACCACACAATACAGGTCACAAAGACAAGACTTCGCCACACATTTGTAATGCTGTAACCGACAAACTTTAAGGCGGATGTCGCTGTCGTGTGCAAGAAAATATACCTTAAACGTGTGTACTCTGCAGTATCCTCACCGGGGAGGTGTGCTTTGATTCTCTCCTTCTTTTAAAAAATATCTAAAATGTGAAAAAATTTAAAGAATGATTGCATCATCACTATGTTGCTTGGTATCACAGGCATATTCAAGGCTTCTCGGGGTGGGGGGGTGGACACCGAGGGGAGAGGGGAGGGAGACGGTGCAGCAGGTGGAAGCTTTGCTGTGGCCTTTAGTTCCTGTAGCTTTTGCGGCCCTCTCCCTCCTTCAGGAAGGTCCATATGAGGGTGTTGACGATGTCGGGCTGGTCCTGCTGCAGCCAGTGGCTGGCCCCCGAAATGATGTTGAGACGGAAGTGATTCCTGATGTAAAGCCGGCAGGCCTCGGCCATTTCCTGCTCCAGGAAGGCGTCCCGTTCTCCCCACAGCAGCAACACCGGAGACCTGACGTGTTTGTGGCTCAGAGGGAGGGAGCTGGAGGCAGGGAGGAGACGTTTGAATTCAGATTTAAAATACAAAAATAACACATCCTAGAAATTTAAACAAGTATTTATTCTCATCCTTTCTCACGTTAAAACCAACAAACGTTCAGGTTTTTGAAATTTTAGGCGGCAGACCAACTGACAGGAACAGAAGTTCGCTGGCGGAGATTCTCAGTCATCCAGGTCATAGTCATTCCAAAAAGTTAAAGTTAAAAAACAAACCGCTGGACTTTGTTTTCCAAGTTTGAAGACATTTCGCTTGTCATCTAAGAAGCTTTCTCAATTCAAAATGTCTGGATTAGAGTTGAATTCCAGGCTTTTATAGAGTAGCTCAACAGAAGCCTTGTAATGGCTTAGAAAACATGCATATTGAAAGTGGAAAACCGGCTCCACCCCTTAATTATGGGCTCGTTAAGGTCATTATTTATGGAGGATAAAAAGTGCCAAAATTAAATAAATAAATACAGCATTAAATAAATAATTTAATGCTGTATTTATCTAATACCTACGGAAGAGGATTAGGGCCACTGAAAAAAAAAAAAGTAAACTGATTTTTAAATTTTATTTCAGTTTAACATGGGAAAAAAGTC